TAAAATTATAAAAAAAAAAAAAAAAAAAAAAAAATGTTCTATTCCAGAAACATTTTTGCATTAGGAAAGTCCTATCGTAATTACAATCGGCCAATCAATCTCTTATTTAGTCAATTACATTCTTAGTTAAAAAACAGAAATAAAAAAAAAAACAAAAATAAAAAAAAAACATAAAAAAAACGCCACTTTATATACGCATTAAAAAAAAAAAAAAAAACACTTTATTCGTATCATACAGAATCAAGACAAAGAAAGAAAATACAAACGTACCGCATGTCCCATGGCGACAAATGCGCGCAAGTCAAAAACTATGTAAACTAATTAATTTGTTAGAAATGAACAATTTTGTCCAATGGTTTCCACACAACTGAATATTTTTACGTGCACGCATTTGCCTTTTATAATGCGTCGGTCCAGCATATCATAAGCCTTCAAGGTGGAATTTTCGCTTTCGAACGTACGAGCCGCGGTCTGTGAACACTGAAAGTGAAATTTCATCTCTCCAATAAGAGGATAATCGGCGAAGAAGTTCATCACGCGAACAATGTCTTTGCTAATAACGGCCGAGCACGAAATCTCAAAACATTCGATCCGCCGACCCTCCACTACTAACACACAACCAAATCCATTCCCCGTCTCTTACTACGCCTGATACAATTACCATCGCTTTTATTTATCAAATAGTACCGTAGCTCCACCGTGAAAATGACGATCGTATTATCATATCAAACCTCTGCATTACTTAGAATATCATGAATAATTCATGATCTTTTTATTTGTTCGATATTTCTACGGGATTTTTAAGAAATTACCACTTATTTGAAATTAATAAGCTACATAATTGTGTTATTAAGATGAGCCGATGTTGACTGGACATCGAGGGGGCACGAGTGTCGAGTAAAATTTATTTTGTTTATTTATGAATTTGATTTTTTAATTATTTTTACGTTCATTTTACTTATGATACGAACTAATGATTTTTTTTTCTTTATTTTTAATCGGAACTAATGATCGAAGGATAGATAGCTAAAAGATCATTGATTCGTCCGGGAATAGATAAGATAAACTTTTCAGTAATAAAAATGATCATTTTATCAACTGATTATTGACGAATTCAATGTCGTTGAAAATTTCTAAATTCCCAACAACCATACAAATATTTATTTATTTCTTCATTTTATCGTAGTTTTCATCTTTTTATAATGCTAACATGCACGAGTTATTGATCCGATTTTATTTTTTTTTCAGTTAAAGATCCTATACTAATGATTGGTTTGTAGATGATATATTAAGAATAATCAGATTACATTTTACAGTTTTAGTTATTTCATATAAACTTATGACTTGGACAAAGATAGCTATTTGTCATTTAAATTGTGCGAATAATAATATTATTTTACACAAGTGCAGTTATCACGATCCCAAAATTATCTTAGCATTTTAACGAAATTTATAATTACACAATTTGGTAAAACTCGGCTTCTCAGCAAATATACAAATGATTTACATTTGTTTTGTTTTGTTTTGTTTTGTTTTGATTTGATTTTATTTTTTTGTTTTTTGTTTTTTGTTTTTTTTTTTACATAATTATCAATAAAGTAAAATCATCCAAATATTATTATAAGATTTTAACTAGAAATAGCTGTAAATGGTTGCAATGTAATTGCGATATTATTGTAAATATTTTCATGGCGCTCACTACTTTTCTCCAACCATAAGGATGTATGAAATGCTCGATATAATTATCGAACGATATTAAGCAGTTTCTATCAAACCTCCGAAGAATTTAATTATTTATCATCCAGTAATTTCCGTTCCTTTCATTAAAACAGCGCCTTCAATTAATCCGGCTAATTATCCATGCGATTTAACCAATAGTTAAGCGTCAAATTACAACCGTTAATGCCAATTAATGCATAAATGCATATTCGGTGGAAATGTATAGAGAATGTGATGGTCGTGCGATCTCTCGTAGGTGTAAGCAAATCTCTTCGAAACTAAACGATGAATCTCGTATTCATTTGGCTCTCATCACGCCAAGTATTTAACATAACTAAGCAATGCTCGTATATCATTATTAACGGCCTCTGCACACGCTTAAGTCTGTTCTCGTTCACGTGCCTCGCTATCGCTCGCAACGGTCGACGGATACACGGATATGAAATTATAAGATAGTTTGTAAAAGGGAATAAAGGGGAAGAGATTGTAATCGGCATTATTCGTTATCATAAAACGAAATAGCGCTAGCTTTTTCTTTTCAATACGCGCGCCTCGTGCATCCAATAAAAATACTCTCAAGATGCATGATTATGTTTTTAATATGAGAACTTTATGAGAACTTATAGGATGCAGCTTTAGAATATTGAATGGCAGCATCAAGATACACTCTTTTTAAATTCAACGCAATTAATTTAATGATTATATGAATTATTTCATGATTCTATTGTTATTTTTCGATATGTGCCATAATGATATTTTCAAATTGCGTACGTCGAGAATCGCCAATGTTCGCTTAACCGAAAGAGGACATATTGTTTATAAAGCTTTTTATTAAAGTGCGAGTAATTATTTCGAGCTCTCTCGTTATCTATTCAAATATGAAAAAAAAGAAGAAAAAAAACCGCTGGCACTGTATATGCCAAGTGAAAAGATTTGTCATTACACGCTTTTCTATATTCTCATAATTGTAAATGAACACTTTCTATACATTTTAGGTGAAATATTAGTTAAACTATAGCGAGTATTGAGTTTTGTTACTCTTAGTTGTCCCATTAACCATTAGTCATCTGTCTCTATTTATTTATAATCATTAATTTATATAATTTATATAATTCTCTTCACCGCCTTAAAATCATTGCTCAGTCGATTATTCTGGGGGCGAGGAATTTAGAGTGAGAATTTCTCTATATTCGTAAGAGTGAAACGAGTATGAAAAAGCTGGAATACAATCGATACGAATATGGCATTTATCGACCGTTAAGTACGTTCGATTAAACCTTTGTAAGAAAGAAGTAAATTTTTAAGAAATAATTTTTAACTTTTAAGGTCCCCTTTTATCCTTGTGGATTTAATCCTTAATACTGCTTCATTAAATTATACTTGGAGTAACATTATAAATTTAAATTGTCACTAATAGCATATAATATATCGTTCATGAATAATCTCTCGTTTAGTCTTTATTATTTCCAACGTACTTTGTGAAGCAGAAAAAAAAAATAAATAAATAAATAAATAAAAACATGAAACAGCCATCACTTACGATCGCAGAACAAAATTCGAACGTATTATGTTATAATAATTAACCGCCAAATAGAAGATGATAAGAGATAAGAGCCCTATACGACAAATATGATAATCAACATACAATTGCTTAACTATTGCATTGTCGTGTATGTGCGTAGTTGCATTGCAAAGGAAATTGCCAGTGCCGTTGAAAGGATGATTTAAAAGTCAGATAAGTAAAATGAACAATCCTCACCTTATCGCCTCTTCAATGTATTCTTTAAATAGAGTTGTCTGCTTGATTCCCGCAAATTTTCATCCTTTAATATCATCTATCTTTTCTCTCCCATCGAAACTTTCCTTCACCAACCTATTCTTTATTTCCATGTCTCCCTTGGCGCAATTTAAATTACGAAGCCGACTTTAACTGCGCCCATAAATAGGTTGATAGTGAGTCTCGTTTCATGGGCTCCCACGATCCTGCATGTGCTATGTAATGACGGCCTGGCGTGATCATTTAAGAGTGAGAGTAAATTTTAAATACGGTTTTGCAACTACTTTGCACACGTTTCTTATACCTTCTACTGGCTATTCGAAAAGTTATTTTGTCTCTATTGCCAATTTAAAAACAATTAAATCGGTTGTAAAATAATTAAATAAATTATTCAGTTATTAAATAATTAAATGGGATGATTTTGTAAGGACATTTTTGCGCGAAACTTAATACTCATTATTTGTATTACCAATTTACGAATTATTGTAATGTATAGTCGCTGTTGGCTTAGGTCACGAATTTCATGGATTAACCACTTGACTGTCTTTATTCGATAGCCATTATTTTCATCAAAATGCAAGATTACAACGATGTTTGCTCTACAAATTCCGCTAATACTCATGTGGTTACATTTTTATGGATTTTTTATCAACTTTATTGGAAATTGAAAGGAAAATCTTCATTCATATGCGGAAAGAGTCGAACGAATAAATTATCATTAAAATGTAATTTATTAGAAAATTCGTAAACCGTGTCACTTTACAAGGCTCTTGAATAGCAGAAAGTGTTTGCTGGTTCGACTCGAGGCGCAATTTTAATTTTTAACATACTAAGCTATCCCGTGTAAAGAAAAAAAAGAAAAGAATAAGAAAAAAAAACAATAGGCATTTTTTACTTTTATACCGACCAACGATTAGCATTGACGAAAAGGTTCTTCGTTCAACTGGAAATTGTCTCAAAGGTATTGATAAAAAGTACATCGTAACGAATATTTGGAAAGGTATATTGGACGTAAAGAGTCTACTATAACCGCACGCACATTCATCGGAGACTTTTGTTTTTAACGTTACAAAGTAATACACTAGTTGTTCTTAATACCATTCGCTACCTGCTTTACCGATTGCAGCACTACGCAATACTTTTTTCTTTTTTTGAAAATAGTGCTGCGTTGCGCTAAAAGAGCGCTAGTTATCGATTCACCAAGACTTCTTCGCCCTTTCTTTTCCCATCCCATCGTTAATAGCTTATCAACGATTCTGTCCCCACTCCACCCCCCCCCCAACTCCATGAAATTTAAATAGGGGAAAACGAACCCTATGCATTCGATAATTATTATTTTTCATTTCCCAAATTCTGTCGACAGAAACTTACCCCCCTATTTTCTCGACCTTTCATTCGCCCAACTTTCAAACTGGCACGCATTAATAGCCTAAAGAAGTCTCTTACTTTCAGTTCCGGCGTCGCGTATTATTAGCTAATAATGTATTGCGCAATACTTTTTCTTACATGCCTCTATCTATTCTGGAGATGCATATATATGTAAGTGAATAAAAGCTACGTCGAGCGTCAGGTGTTAGCTGTTTTGAAATTCGCAATGAGTTTCGGAATCTTTTTGCCTTTTCTCCGCGATATTACGGCCATTCTCATTCACAATTAATGAGTATTTAATGCTTGTTATGATTTTTTATTCTCTTCTCTTGCTTTCGTCGACCGTTGCGAGGAGTGGCGGGAGGGAGAGCCGTGGGTCGAGTAATTTAAATGTTCGCAGGCCAGCTGAGCGACCGAGGAGTCTATTTTTATAATCTAAAGGTTTCCGAAATAATTGAAAAATAAGGTGAGAGAATAAAACGGGGCTGAAATGATTTTCCGCTAGAAAAACGTTGTCGAATGTAATTTTGACATTATTTGCCCGACATCTAGCGAATTGTTGCACAATACTTTCCACATTCGAGTGTCATAAAGGGATTTAAGAGAGCCCGTAAAACCGTTCCTTCTAATTTCCAAGAAAGTCACGTATGTTTCATTGTTACGCGAATGTGAAAAATCGCTCGACTGACCAAGTTCCTCCAATGATTATTCGTCCATCGTATTAAGTGCACTTGGTAGTCGAAGTGTACGGCGAGAAAATGGCGAAAAGGACACTCTCTACGGCGCTGCCTCCTGTTCTATAATTAATATATAGATGAGTTTAATTAGCATCCCCGCGAGTGACAACGGAAGAAAAATCATATCCTCGCGCCATTTGTCTCCATTTTTTTTTTCGGATTTTCTTTTGTTTCGTTTCCTTTTCGTTTCGAATGTTTTGGCTTTTCTTTCGTCCCATCGCCTGGACACGTATTGTGAAAAATTTTAATGGAATATATCGAACAAGCAGTCCGTGTGAAGAGTAAATAGAACATTACGCTTAAGTTTAAAACGACGACTTTGAGTGGTCGATATGCCGTCGTTAAATTTCATTTAAATGATTAACAATCACGAAGTGTAAAGCACTCGAATCACTTGGGTGGGCCAGGAGGGGAGTGGGAGAGAGAATCGTTTGATTTTTTGCCTCCCGCTCAAATTAAAGTAATCGAAGGAGGCCAACTGGTTATTTAAGAGGCGAGTTTCCCGCGCACTACCGCCAATTCCCCAGAAATTAGCAATGAAAGCCAATGGGACCGTTGAAGCTTGCGCAAGCTTTCAAGTGCGCGCGACCGATCCCCATAGCGTCGATTTCAGTGTCTCGGGCCATATATCAAACGAAACCGTGACGATCGATCGTTAAAGTCATTAGTTATACTCATACCCATCAACCACATAGATTTGAGAACGTCACAGTCGAGCTACGCGTGCGCGCCAGCCAAACGTATAATTTATATAGCGTGCGCGCGCTCTCAGACGATGATCGACACTTTGCGCAACGAGATTCGCCATATCTCTGCGAATAACCGCCTCTGGTCCGCAATTGCCTATCGTTCATTTTCATCATTCCCCGCTTTCCCGGCGTCTTCCAATCGGCAATGACGAAATTATCTACGACGAGGCCGGAGCGCTCCTGGATTTTGCTTCTGACTCGATGGAGGCGAACACCCGTAGCGTTCGTTACGTTTTTCGCTAAAGCTTTCGTAATAAGATCGGGATGCTGCGATTTTTTCAATAGTTCCTACATTTATTCCACCCCTCCCCCCCAAAAAAAAAAAATATATATATATATATATAAATATAATGGGCGCATGGGAGATTCGAATTATGCACAAATTATTGTTTTCTCAAATTTCGGAGTGATTGTCGTTAAGTGACTGAGGAAAGATCGAAGCTCACGTGGATCGAAGCGAGGGATTATTAAATGACGGATGGTGGTCTTAAATGTCAGGAGGGTGGATGAGGATAATTATTAATGAGCAATCGCGAGCTTCATAAATACTTCATAATAACCGTGCGGCTAGGAATTGCAAGGAATGAGATGGAGGTAAGAGACGTATAAATCCAGATAGCATATATATTTTTCAGTGTTCTTTATATGTTTTCAGTATAAAAAAATACATTAATCTCCTAAGTAGATACAAAACAATAATCTACATCGAGGTTCGCGTCCTCGTGATAATCGTTTCGCGCTTGAACAACGGCCCTTCGGACGTTACAATTCCCAGGTGAGCGGGGGAACTTCGGTAAACCGAGTGTACATTAATCCGAGGCCAATAAGAGCACGTGTCGACGTGTCGTTTACAATCGTCGTCGCATCCTCTAGCTTCCTCGCGCTATAAATTACAATTTACAAATAATTTCGAGTACTGCGTGGTACGTGGCGCCAGTTGACGTCCGCGTGGAGTCAGCCTGGTGGTCAGCGCCGACACTCGGACTCAGTGGAGGTAACCGCCGTAGTCGTTGTAGGCGCCTCCGTCGTGTCCGTAATACTGGTTGTAGACGGGGACGGCTACAGGGACCTTCACCGGGTAGGGCACGGGCTTCTCAACATGCACGGGAACGTGCTTCTCCACGTGGACGGGGTAGGGCCTGTCGACGGGTACCTTGACTGGGTAGGGCACCGGCTTCTCAACCGGGTACGGTACTGGCGTCTCGACCGGGTAGGGCTGGGGCACGGGGACCTTGACGGCTACGGGCACGGGTCGGTCGACGTGCACGGGGTAGGGCCTGTCGACCGGTACCTGCACCGGGTACGGGACGTGCTTCTCCACGGGATAGGGCACGTGCTTCTCGACCTCGACGGGGTAGGGCTTGGGTACGGGTACAGGGTAAGGACGGTCGACGGCCACCTTAACCGGATACGGTACCAGTTTCTCCACTGGGTAGGGTGCGGGTACGTGGACGGGGACCTTCACCGGCACGTGGATCTTCTTCTCGACGGGGTAGGGCTGTGGCACGGGTACCTTCACCGGGTACGGCACGTGCTTCTCCACTGGGTACGGCTGAGGTACGTAGACCTTCACGGGGTATGGCCGATCGACGGGCACGTGTACGGGCACGTGAACCTTCTTCTCAACGGGGTAGGGCTGGGGTATGTGGACCGGAACCTTCACGTACACCTTGTAAGGTACTGGAACTTCCTTTTCTACGGGGTAGGGCTGTGGGACCGGCACCTGCAAAATATCGGTGTCGATCTTTACTTGAACGTAATTTAGTGGTGAGGTGTTATGTGAGCGAGGACGCAGCCGCAAGGACTGCGCGATCATTTACGAGGATGCTGACAAATTTTCGTCGTCTGGTCTGATAATCTATAGCATTGCCTATTCGACAGTCAATCGATAAGGCCAATACGGGGCTCCGTTGAGTTCATCTACCAAAATGGCATTCGCTTTTGATTCTGCGATGCGGCTTACCTTAACGGGAACGTGGACTTGCTTCTCTACCGGGTAAGGGATGTGCTTCTCAACGGGATAAGGCACCGGGACGTTCTTGTACACGGTGATGACTTTCTCGTGATGATGGCCATCATCGTAGCTGCCACCGTAGCCATGGCCAAGGTCGAGACCCTGGAGATGGCCAGCGGCGCCGATGTCGTAGCCGCCGTCGTAGGCGTAACCGTAGCCAAGCCCGAGAAGTCCGCGCTTCTCCTGCTTCTTGGATTCCGGAAGGGCCGATGCCGTGCCCTTGGACGCCTCCTGAGTGGCTGCCTTCTCGGAATCCTCAGCCCACGTCGCCACCGCGAAAAGGGCGATCAGGGCCACGTGAATCTGCAACATTTATCAATCGATTCTTTAACGGTAGCAAGGGGTCAGGTGAGCGTGAGGCCGTCGTCGACCATATTGGGCCCGACGGTCTTCGCCGATTAGGGATCGTCTCGATGGCCGAGTCGGTGGGTCCACGGGTTCGGACAAGCGAGTCGTTGGCGCCCTTCTATAATTCCCCATAAGTTCGTTTAATCCAGAGTTCGGTTTGTCGCGATTCGCGGAATTATCCATAGAGTTTTCCTGTAGAGAGGAGCATTCGTATCAGGGGCCCGATCTTTACGTGGACGCGGACGTGAACGTGGACGTGAACGTGGACGCGGACGTGGACGCGGACGTGGACGTGGACGTGGACGTGGACGTGGACGTGGACGTGGACGTGGACCTGGACGTGGACCTGGACGTGGACGTAGACGTAGATAGGAAGGAGATGTAGGTGATTCGGGCGAGTTTGAGTAAGCACTCGGAGGTCGTCGAGGGAAGCGATCACTCGCGGTGGTCGAGGCGGCGGTCGCGGTTGGGCCGGTCTCGGGAGGATCCGGGGAGGAACCGGACACACAGCGGTCGCACACTCGGACGACGTCTTGAGCCGCGCACTTGCGGGCCAAAGCTTTCACGTACCAGACTCCTCATTTTTGCTTTCGCGATGTTCCGGGTGCGTCCAGAAGCGAACTGGATGCTGATTGCCGGGCGTCCGGGGCCTTATATACGCTTGGCACTTTCGCCTTCGCGGTGAGCGCGGGCCCCCGGCAGGTAGAGGGGCCCGCGAGCGCCTCGCCTCCCCCCCCTCCCCCCGCGTCCTTTGTTCGCACGAGCGAGCGCGACAGCCGACCACCACTCCCCCGGGACACACGCGACCGATCGCCGCTCTCGCTCTCGTCGAGGCTCTCGATTTCCTTTTCCCTCGGCCTCCCTCTCGCTTTCGTTCGCGCCTCCTTTTCGCCGACGACTACCTCTCCCACCTCGAGGCTGCCCGTGTCCCGACCGCGTAATACGCCTACGGCCGCTGCGCTCGTGAACAATCGATCGTGCGGCCCAGTTTCTTACGCGGCCGCGAGTTCGATTTGTTGGCGGTGCGCCGTGACGCCTCTTCCTAATTAGGGTCTCGCCGCGCCCGGGGCACTGGTTGCAATGTCGCCCGGAGGCTGCCGCGCTCGATTGTCCCTGGCAAGTTAGACTGCCTGGCCGATGCTCCCAATCGTTATCGGCAGGGATGCGCTCGCACATGTTCCCCGGAGTTTACGAACTTAGGATGTCGGTGTATTAGTGCGAGATGATAATTGTAATGATGGGCTATTGATTGCCTTTGAGCGGTGTAACGAGCAAATGGGAATACGAGAGAGGATTGTGCGCGCCGTTTCGCACTTGATCTTTCATCTTACGGGATCGTTAATTGATTACATCAGAATAATCTTTTGATTGACTTTGGAGTGCACTTCGCAACTGATGCTTTCATGTGTACGGAGTTTATTTGAATAGCTCATGCTCCTTCACTGAGTCACCGGCTATTAAGTAACCGAATTATAAAACTACTTTCAAATTATATTTTTGTGACTCAATTTGTTTTACAATTTGTGAACATTATAATTTTTTCTTATCTTTTTTTTTTTTTAATCAGCCTATAAATTCACTTGGTGCACACCGCCCTACCACGCGTCCTATTAGACTACTCGTTTGTAATTGCAATTATATAACACAGGACAATTAATTATACGATATTTATTTAAATAATTTACCGCCGCTCATTGGTGTTATGCTGGTAGGAGTTTGCTTCTCCAGAAATACTTGTCCGAATGCAATTGAGCGTGTAAGAATGCAATGTAAATTATGTTATCGCTCGAGCAAATGAACTTGATATAATATTCTTAATGATTAAAACTGATAAATCATTATCATCTAGATGCATATATATGTATTGATGTATGCGCGCGCTCGCTCGCACAGCCAGGAGCTCAAAAATTTATGTAACATAGTATATAAATAGATAATTTATATTGCATTCTTAAATGTACATGACTTACAGAGCATACAATAGCATTTTTGGCAATGTGAGTTGTCTTTTTTACGAGTATATGCCTCATAAATTTAAGCCATATATCGTTAAAAGTAAAGTAAGTGATATTTATCCCTTAAATGTTTTATAGGCACATGAGAATAAAGTGGGCGCAAACTAACGTTATAATCAATATGATTGAAGATATTGAGACTTTCCTGTAGATATCATGAATAATGAATAGTGGAGCTTAGATTAATAAGTGAGTCACAACATTATAAGCGTAAGAGAATTTTTTCTCCAAATGCTCCAAAATAAATATATTTATACTTTTCTGCATAGGTCGATGATTAATTATTCTGTCTCACCCCCCCCTCCTCTCTCTCTCTCTCTCTCTCTCTCTCTCTCTCTCTTTCACCTATTTGTATTATAAGTAGATTTTTCAAAAGTTTCCGAGTATAAGAATTGGATTGAATATAATATAAAATCAAATCAAATAACATAATGCGCGAACATTTTATTAACATTTTATTAATAAAATAAAAAAACAGATAAATAAAAAATTCAATCCCTTTTATGAAAACATATAAACATCAATGAAACGCAATGAGAGATGAGATGATTAATAAAATCAATCCTTAGGAAGAGAAATGCAAATTTTTCGGGACATTAATTTGCACCAAAACATAAGAATATTATTATCCCGTTTTATAACGAAGGTAAAACGGCGAATTTTTTTTTTATTTCTTTTTTTTTTTTTACGTTTTTTTTTTTTTTTTTTGCACCACACGCTCACAGCTACGTTCAATTGAATTTTCAGGTAAAAAGAGATTCTTACGCGTATCAAGAAAGCAAATTGAAAATGCGTTAAAGCCGCTGAAAGCTCCAATTCGATTATTTAAAATGCACCTCACTTTTGTCGGTAACGACGCTGTGCTTTGTATGTCAGCGCCATTGTCGATTCTATACAATAAGGATAAGTCCATAGAAAACAAGTCCGTGCAGCGGTAAACCAAAGTTTTAATTAGAGTCGTGGATACGTAAGGTCGCGGGCACAGCATGAGTTGACAAAAAAAAAAAAAAAAATAAGCGCCTATACTCGCTATGTCGAGAGCTCGAGCTCCATTCGGTATTGTTTTGCGGCTGTTCGGCCGATGTCGCGAAATCCAAACGGCTGAAAATTGCGGAGAAATTTGCTTAATTCATTGGCGGCTCGGCTCCAGTGATGCCCAAGTTCTCGGAGAATTAGCGAGGAGTTAGCGAGCTGTTCGTGTCGTATAGTCGAATTCTTTGCCGAGGTAAGGCCTCGGCGTAAGGCCACGTCAAGTAGGCGGCAACGATTTAGAAATTTTTTTTTGAAATCGCCGCAAGATGATTAGAGACTGAATTTATAACTTTATTGGCAAATCATTTCGTAATCTGCCATTTATTTGAGCAACGAGTCAGTTCGATCGCGTAAGGGGGAAAAGCATCATTGTTCGAGGAAGAGGGAACATGATATTTGCCGCTACCGTAAGTGCAATTGGTGGCGTACACTTCCCAATTGCGGCTTCGAAAGTAGCAATATAAAGCTGTGAGTCACGAATTGCACAGAAGACAAATTGCTACTACCGAAGCTACAATACCAGCGACTGTAACCACGAATTTTCAAACTTACTTTACAAACTCGTTCTCCTTAATATATGATTAAGTAAACAAAGCAAACGTGAAAATTGTTATTTAATAAAGTGCGGCTCGAGGCTCTTTAAAAAAGATTTATCACCAGATCGGGAAAGCGGATAATTTACGAAGGAAAAGTTCAATTACAAAAGTGAAAAGGCTATTGCTTCAAATTCTGCATTTATAAATTTTATAGAATTATTAAGAAAAATTTGGAATGTGCGTGAATACTTTTCACGCCCACAATATTTGCATTAATATCGCTCTGCTTTTTAATTTGAGCTTTTGCTACAAAGATAATTGATTTTTATTTTTAATTAAATGATCGCGCAATCGCTTTCATCCAATGATAATCATAAAATCGTAAATTATAAAAGGAGGGAGCCGTGGCGGGCCGTGGGTATACGTAAACGTAATTATAAAATTCGCATGAATAAACGTATAATAAACGGCGCCATTACCCTCGTGCTGTGCCGCAATTACGCATCGATCATGCACGTCCAGTATCTTTGAATTGTAAACATCCGCATATTACAATAATTAGAGAATATTTTCGATGCACATGACGTAGTCGGTCCGACGTACGTTCACGAGACAGTAAATAAAAGGCCAGAATGTAGGCTCACGTGGGGCAGTGAGAATTCTCTTTCTCTCCTCTCTTTCCACCTTTCTTTCACGTTTCTCCATTCCGAGGATGCGTATTGGGCGGTAGATGGCATTATTTGATCGTAAAAAGCTGGTAAGAGCAATTACGTAAAGGACGTCTTGTAAAATGTTACGGAGAATAGTCGGAGGTACTTGGACCGACGCATATGTAACACTTGTCCATTGAGCGAACGGACGTGCTGTATGAAATGTCCATACGCCGATGATTGGAGGCGCACTGCGTTTCTACATTTGTGTATATCGTAAATGAGATTTTCGTTGATTTGGAAGAACGTTAACGGATGGTTGTAGTGGATCACCTTGTCACTCTACGCGAGTCTCAACAATTTTACAGCACATAAAACGACGCAGAATTTAAATAGATTTGTTTTTTCAGTGGGACGAATATCTCTTATAATATAATTACTTACTTTCTGCGCAAACATTCTCACTTTCATCTTTATTCTTGTTAATGTTTAATTTATTTGAACGGGTCTTTTACTAAATGAAAATACCAAATTAATAAATACATCAGCGTTAAGTCTCTCGATTAAAACTAGTGAAAAGAAAAATAGTGGTAAAACGAGATAAAGATACAAAATCTTACATTATAGCTTAGGAAGGGGCATTTTTTCACCTCATAACATTTCCACAAAACATTATCGTAATGCACGAATAAGTATGAGTTTAATATTGTTTTAATGCTATGTAGAGGCATTAATATTTACTTGAACCATATATATAAGTAATGCAATAAGTATAAAAAATTGTGAATTAACGACAAAATGGTTTAATACATGGCTGCATTCAATGAATATTCTTGATAATAAGGAAAAAAAATAAAAATAAAAACTAAGAATAAATTTAATTTTTAATTTTCTACACAGCGAATACGTATAGTGAGTTAAGAGGATAAATATAAAAATAAATAAAAAACGTTAATTATTATATATTAATGTAAGGGAAATGTGTGTGTGTGTGTGTGTGTGTGTGTGTTTAAATTAACGATAAATATTATAATCAATTACACATTAGAATAAATAAATATTTAAGTACAAATGTAATTATAATATTTATTAATAATTACTAGTTATAGTCAAATGTGTAATATTGTAATATTGTAAGTAGATTGTGCACATATTCAATAGATATATAGAATACAGAATATTGTGCAACTTAGAACGTCCAATTAACAAGATATATATATATATATAGATATATATATATATATATATATATATATATAGTGTGTGTGTGTGTGTGTGCGTGCGTGTGCGTGCGTGCGCGTGTGTGTGTGTGTGTGTGTGTGTGATAGAGCTAGTAGGCTGGCTCGTTGGCGCATCTTAATAAGAAAAACAAAGTAATTTACGAGGTCAGTGGAAATAAATGTACTCGCTTGTCCTATCGGCGCTCGTCC